ATCGCATTTATATCCTATCCAATCAATACCAATTCCATCAAATTACTCAATAGTCAATAGGTTCCTATTTATTTATTTATTTACTTTTTTGAACTATAAAAGCCTAAAATGGTAGGTAATTAATCGGTTTGGTATAGTAAGTATGTGGGCCCACTAAACAAAACAATCATTTCAAGTTGAGAAATTAAATATTCTTCTGCATTTTGTTCATTTCAATCATTTTATCAATTTAAATAATGACATATGTCATGTTAGTATCCTGAAATATCATTAAATTTCATTAAATGAGCATTAAATGTTATACATGTCAACATTTAATTGGATAGGAAGATACGTAAAAACAAAAAATAGGAGAATATTTAATTCTTTTTCAAGTTTTTGGTGGATCAAAAGTTTTAACTATTGAACCCCTATATAAGTTGAAAATAATTTTTTTTTACCATAGACAGTTTTTTTATTAACCACACAAAGACCAATTTTACAGTTTACTCTAATTAATGTCACTCCAACAACGAATTAATGGGTATACCTTCCAAACATATTAGTTTTGTTATAACGTTTTTATAACGATTTTGTGAACAAAGGGACACACTCAAGAACAATAGTTGTTCTTTAGGAATTTATCAATGTTCGTTTAAATTTTATAATCAACTCAAAACACAAATAATCCTAAAGACCAAGGTTGTCAAGAGTGCTTCGAGATCCTACCAAAAAAAAGAACCTTCAATTTCTTGTGTAGTACCCATAATTCTTGTAAATACAAACCGAAGAAAATCTCCTACAAATTTAAAGAAACAAATTCATTGTAATCATGTACAAATAAATACACAAAGAGACAAACCATTTTATCACGATGTTTTATGAGGTTGTCCATCATATGTGATGCTTGATTTCGAGTTGAATGGACGAATTTTTAAAGCTTTACTTCAAGCTGAATAGACAATTTTTTAGGTTATGCATGAAACTTTTGAGTAGAAATGATGAATTTTCTTGGGTTTAGAAAACTAAAGGCGTAAGACAGAATAAAGACTAATGATGTAAGATTAGATCGATATAAGATATTATGATCCTAGTTGAGATCTTAAGAATCCAAATAGAGGTCTTGCTTTAGAATAGGTCCTAGTGTTTTTTAGATTGTTTTTCATGGGTAGGATCTTAAGAGAAGATTGAGATATTAACAACGATCCCAAAGCCAACCCATCCTATTTGTAATAATCTAAATCCAAAATATTCTAATTAAATGCTTATAAGGGACACCATATATTTAACTTTCTTACACTTGTAGGAAAGGTAAAAGTGCACCATTTAATCATGAAATAACAAACAATACCTCCGTTTAAGTCATTACTCGCCCCAATCCTTGTTTTCAATTCTTGAAGCTTTAACATCCTTCTCATCTTTACAAGCTCCCAACTCTTCTGAGTGAAGCATCGTAACAATTAGGCCAACTTTATTTTTCATCTTTTGCTCCTTTCCATTTCCATTGTAACAAACCTCATCATTACTCCTTTTTATTCTTCATCTTTATTCATAAACTTGGTAAACATAATTTCTATGGAGACAATTCTTGACTAATTCCATACACTAGACGTACTCTGCTTAAATTAATTGGTTACCTTGTGGTTTCAACGAAGTAGCCCAAAGATTGTTGTTGGAGATTCAAATCCAAATGGTTGTTGAGGATGTATATAGTCTTGTTGCCATGGTTTACTATAAACATAAGGCATTTCTGCTTTCCTCTCATTTTTCTCCATTAATTCTTGCATCAATCTTTCAATAGTTTCCATTTTTGTCATCAAGCGTAGCTACCTAAAGGCTCTTCTACTTGATGATCCCCATATAAACTATCCCTTTGAATTTTGATTGCTTGGGGTCTCATTATGAAGTTTGAGACTTAGATCTGAATACAGAACAAAGCAATTGAATTACATCTATGATCTATCCAATTTTTTTTGCTATGATTGTATTAATTATAAATAAGCATGATAAAAATGTATAAATATAATCGTAGAAAGGAATTAAAATATAGTTTCGGATGTTTGAAACCATATGAAACTATATTATATACAGTATATGTTTAGATTGATAAACAAAAGGAAATACTTACAATCATTAAATGAATTTAGTAAACATACACAACACTCGATCTGGATCAAAGTTCTAAAGAACGCCATGATAAGCAATATGAACCAACAGAGAGAGAAGTGAGAAGAGGGAGTTTTATTTAAATATGAAACTTTGGCATGTGTAAAATGAAAAAGTAATTACTATATTTATATTTTATATTTGCACGTTATTTTATATTGCTTAGGTACCCTTCTCCATCTGTGCATTTATTCCACAGTCCAAAACTTTTAGAACCTTGCTCTGATAACCCCTTAACTAACACAAACACGAGCCCTATCCCTCTGATTACCTTTAATTTAATTTATTTTATTTTTTTTAAATAAATAATTATTCACGTCCACTTTTCTATTAAGTCAACCCAACATTGGAAAATTATATGTTTTTAAAAGTTGTGTATATATAATAGTCCATTATTTAGTGTGATCCTTGTGGAATTCACGCTTATGTGTTGCTTGCACTTCATAATTTCCACTAATTTTTTCGGTCATTCCTTTTATGTCATTTTTTTTTTTGCTTTTGGTTGCGTATTTCATGTTATTTGGTTTCTTATTTCATGTGATGATTTATGTACGATTATACATAATTTCCTAGCCATTAAATTAATTAACACATTATACGTTGCACCCAATACAATTTCATAGACCTCTTTGGACCAAGGTTAAAATAGGGAAAACAATATATATTGGCGTACTAGACTACTCGTCGTTGATGACAAACGTATATTAAAAACAGAAGCTCCACTTATACCCACATTAGTAGGAATCTTAGTTGTTGTAAAATTACTCACCATTTTTAGTTAGTTATAACCCGTTTATTATCATTGGTTCTCTTAAATAGAGGTTTGTTTGATCCTCGCAAATAACATGTGCAAGCCACAAGTCTATAACAATTTTTTTTCAAAGAAATTAAGGTTGCGTTTAGTTACGACATTTTCCGTTTTTCGTTTTCCCTTTTCAATTTTCGTTTTTCGTTTTCAGTTTTCATTGGAAAATTTAGAAAACGCGTTTAGTTAAAACTTATTCATTTTTCATTTTCAGTTTTAGAAAATTAGAAAACGCGTTTAGATGTATATATTTTTATCGGTTTTCATTTTTAGAAAACGATAGTGGTGGTAGGATGGGATGGGGGCAGCGGCGGGGGGGCAATGGTGGTGTCGATGATGGCGACAGTGGTGGTGGTTGTAGCGGCGGTGGTGATGACAGGCAGTGGTGGTGGCAGCGGTGGTGGTGGTGATTGCGGTGGCGGTGGTGATGGGGTAGTGGTGGTGGTGATGGTGATGGTAGGTTGGTGATTGTTGTAGTGGTGTTGTGTGTGTGTGTTTATAGGGGTGGGGGTGGGGTGGGTGGGTGTGGGTGTGTGTTTCTGTATATAGGGGTGTGTGTGTGTGGGTGTAGGTGTGAGTGGGGGTTGGGGTTGGGGTGGGTGTGAATTTGTGGGTGTGTGTGTGTGTGTGTGTTTTGGGGTGGGTGTGTGGGTTTGGGTGTCTGTTTATGTGTGTGTGTGTGTTTGGGGGTGGGGGGGGGGGGTGGGTGTGTGTGTGTGTGTGTGTGTGGTGGTGTATGTGGGGTGGGGGGTGTGGTGGGGGTTGGGGTTGGTGTGTGTTTGTAGGTGTGTGTGTGTGTTTGTGGGGGTGGGCTTGAGAGTAAGTGGGTATGGGTAGGTAGGGGTGTGTGGTGGGTGGGGTGTTGGTGTGGGTTGTGTGTTTTTATAGAAGAATTTAGGAATGTGGGGTAATTATTCATTTTCCAATAATTTCCATTTTCTTTGTAATTTTAGAAAACGGAAAATTTCATTTTCCGTTTTAGTGACGAACTAAACGCGTTTTTAAAATTCTCATTTTTTCTTGGAAAATTTTTCCGGAAAACGGCCTATTTTTTTGCAACTAAACGCACCCTAAATATCATCCTACATTTTATTCCTATTTATTTTCTTACCATATCAAATGTTAACATGTGTCACATTTAATGACACATTTAATCAAATTGATTTAATTTTATTCTACTTGTCACCATTTAACGTGGATAGAAAGATAGTAGGAATAAAATGTAGGAAGATTTTTAATTTCTTTTTTTTAATATGAAATTCATAGCAGGATGAGAAATATGATAATATTAGGCCCCGTTTGATACGCATCTTTCCAGGTCCAAACAGATCTTTCTGGCTGAATGGACCGGAAAGACTGTTTGATTTGCACAAAAAAAGGGTCTTTCCCGGTAAGATATGTCTTTCCCAGAAAGCTCCAAAATCATATCTTTCTGGCTGAATTGGTTGGAAAAACAATTATGCACCAAACTCAGCCTCTTTCTTTCTTTCTTGGATTATTAATTTTTTTAAATAACTTTTTTTTAAAATTTATTTTTTATTGAATTATTACTTTTTTTTCATCATTCAGCATAGTCAATCTGATGTACAATCAAACAGCATGGTTTCTTTTCCAGTCAGAAAACTTTCCCAGACAGCACTTTATCAGACAGCACTTTCCCAGACATAAACTATCAAACGGGACCTTAATCTACCATGAATACAAAATACAATATGTGAGCCTAAATGGAAGGTTTTTACGATGACATTATTAATGGTTGACCGAAAAGATGATAATATTAATAACTAGTGAATGATATAAGTTGCTATTTCAAGGGTTACTAATATTTAACAACAAAAAACATATCCCTAAAAGAAATTTTTTACGATACTATTTAAATTTCGAAAAAATAGTCGTATGATACACCACACTTATATGAATAACTTTAAAATATTTTAGTTTTTCACATAAATAATCTTATAATTAAGTCAATTAACAAAAAATGAAAGAAGTCAAAGACCACTATTACTAAAAAAGATAAAACGGTTTTGGGGAGTGGAAACATACAAATTCCAAATTCTTTTGTGAGGAATCTGGAGATATTTCGGTATCACCTCGTCATCCCCCTTCTGTGTTACTCTCTCTGTACGAACTCATTTGCAAAATTCCTCCGCACCACTCATTTACACAACCCAATAACTCGAAATTAAGCCACACAAAACCCTATTTCATCAGAGGTTCGTCTAGATTTTACTAGGAATAGTTGTTTCTATTAGGGTTTTTACTTCTTCTTCTTCAGTGACTCATCTGTCTACCACTCTATTTGTTTTTTTTTTTTTTCTGTTTCAATTTGAGGTGTATCTTATGGGGTGAAGCGCCAGTTATTCGATATTTGCTTTGCTTTTTATGGAGTGGGACAGTAGCAGTTCTGATCTGAGTGGTGACGAGGAAGAAGGGTTTTTATTGAACGATGGCGGCCCCTTGCCGTTCCCCGTCGATAGCCTGCTTCAACCGGCGCCGTGTGGTTTTGTGGTTACGGATGCGTTAGAGCCTGATCAACCAATTATCTACGTCAATTCGGTTTTCGAGATGGTTACTGGGTATCGCGCTGAAGAAGTCCTTGGTCATAATTGGTGAGTACTGTTTTAATCCACCTGATTGAAATTAGTTCAATTGAGCCATTCGTTTATAAAAAAATGATCTAGTTGTTTAGGGTTACTGTGTTTTGGGGTTTTGGAATATGCTCGTTCTTGATATCGTAGGGTTTTGCTTAATTTTACTCATTTGAAGCATATGCACCATATATAACCTTCAAATCTAGCACTGTAGCACATCACAACCTTCAAAACACACCAGGAATTGCATTCCACACATGATAATGTAAATCATCCCCTGAATGCCCGTGAGTTTGTTTCATAACACTAAGCATGAATAAACAAACCTAATAATTGTTTTAATAGTAATTAGAATAATCAATGTACAATAATTATTACTCTAATATGCTTGGTATAATTATTCTGAAAAGTTATTAAAGCTTAACAAGATCATGATATACCCTCTGCACTAATGTTGTGATCTTCATCATGGTCACTGTTACTATCATTGCCATTTAGGGGTCAAGGATTCTAATTAGATAATATGTTGACATGCATGTGCAGACCAATAAACTTCTTTTGGATTGTACATGGAAAGCATTAATCATCCTGATAGATCACATGAATTTATTGTATTGTATTATCCAGGTCATGTTATCTCTAATGATGAGCACAAAAGACCTGTTCGTGTTTTTTTAAGCATCTAGAGTAGTTGAGAGCATCATATATACATTCTTACCAAAAATTGCTTGATGCATCTTTCTTTCATAATATATACATTGTATTATTGTTATTTACTATACCACTTCATCTATATTTGCAGCCGATTCTTACAATGCAGAGGTCCATACGCAAAAAGAAGGCATCCATTAGTAGACTCTTCAGTAATTTCAGAAATCAGAAGATGCATCAACAACGGAATCGAATTCCAAGGAGAACTCCTAAATTTCAGAAAAGATGGCACCCCATTAATGAACAGACTCCGTATGACCTCCATATACGGCGATGACGATGAAATAACCCACATCATCGGAATCCAATTCTTCACAGAAGTCAACATCGACCTGGGCCCACTCCCGGGGTCCACAACAAAATCCACCCTACAACCCTACAACCCATTCCGTTCCGCTCTTCTTTCCAATTCCGCCTCTACAACCCGCAATTCCACTCCTGGGATTCTCCAATTAACCGACGAAGTAATCTCCCTCAAGATTCTCTCACTGTTAACCCCACGAGACATCGCGTCCTTTGGATCGGTTTGCTCCCGGTTTTATGAAATCACAAAAAACGAAGATTTATGGAGAATGGTGTGTCAGAACGCATGGGGGAGTGAAACCACTAGGGTTCTAGAAACCGTCCCCGGGGCTAAACGCTTAGGGTGGGGCCGGTTAGCCCGGGAGCTAACCACCCTCGAAGCGGCTGCATGGCGGAAGCTAACCGTAGGCGGTGCGGTCGAACCCTCCCGCTGCAACTTCAGCGCGTGTGCGGTTGGAAACCGGGTGGTTCTATTCGGTGGTGAAGGTGTCAACATGCAACCAATGAATGACACTTTTGTCCTTGACTTAAACTCGAGTAAACCCGAATGGCAACATATAAAAGTGGGGTCCCCGCCACCTGGACGTTGGGGCCACACGCTTTCGTGTGTTAATGGTTCGAATCTTGTTTTGTTTGGCGGATGTGGTCGACAAGGGTTGTTGAATGATGTTTTTTTGTTGGATTTAGACGCGAAACATCCAACATGGCGTGAAATTTCCGGTTTAGCCCCTCCGATTCCGAGGTCGTGGCATAGTTCGTGTACCCTCGATGGAACTAAATTAATCGTGTCTGGTGGATGTGCGGATTCCGGTGTTCTTTTAAGCGATACTTTTCTTCTCGATCTGTCACTTGAGAAACCGATTTGGAGGGAAATTCCAGTGTCGTGGACCCCACCGAGTCGACTCGGGCATACGTTATCGGTATATGGTGGACGGAAGATTTTGATGTTTGGTGGGCTGGCGAAAAGTGGGCCCCTTAGGTTTCGGTCAAGTGATGTGTTTACTATGGATTTGAGTGAAGATGAGCCGTGTTGGAGGTGTGTTACGGGTAATGGGATGCCCGGGGCGGGAAATCCGGGCGGGGTAGCTCCCCCGCCCCGGCTTGACCATGTGGCGGTCAGTCTGCCCGGTGGGCGGATACTTGTTTTTGGTGGGTCAGTTGCGGGGCTCCATTCGGCTTCACGGTTGTATATACTTGACCCGACTGAAGAGAAGCCGACATGGCGGATATTGAATGTACCAGGTCGACCTCCTAGGTTTGCATGGGGACATAGTACATGTGTTGTTGGTGGGACACGTGCGATTGTTCTTGGAGGACAAACGGGTGAAGAGTGGATGTTGAGTGAGCTTCAAGAGTTGTCATTAGCGAGTTATGTTATTTAAAAAAATACAAAAAAGAAAAAAGAAAAAATGAAGGTGGAATGAGTGGAAATTCAAATAAGGTACAATTTTTGTCAGATGATTTGTGCAGGAGTGTTCTGTGGTACCTATTTTGGATCATCACTGCATCTTTTAGGGTAACAGTAGGTTTGACCATATAATATAACATTTTGTCGTGTATTTAAATCATGAAAAAGAATAAAAAATGTAACAATGAAATAAAAGGGTGTTTGTAATTGGTGTATATAATAAGAAGTCAGAAATATGTTAGGTTTGTACTTGACGCCTATTTCTACATTTTATTGCGATTATAACGTTATAATAATGTGATTTTTTTTGGATGCTTGGTGATAGAATGTGAACGTTTCTGCCCACATTGTTTATATATGTTTATGGTTTCAGTTTTTGAGTGTGAAATGGTTCAAGTCTTGAGGTCTTTGGTCATCTTCGCCCGACATTAATTTGTGTTCTTTCACAAAAGTCAAGCCTCTGCAGTCTGCACTATCTAAATAAATCTGTATATTTTAACGATGGGTTAACATATCAAAATCCTACTTTTAATCAGATAATATATACTTATTGTATGCACATGGTTCTATAAAGACTGAATTACAGAAATGAAACCTGTGATTTAGTAAATTTGCAGTTTCAGTCCTATTTTTTAAAATGACACTAACAGTACTCGTGTCATCCTATAGAAACCTATAGAACCAAAATGCATCTTTATGATGTATGAACTTAGACTGTGAAGCAGGCCTGGGTACAAACATTGCATTTGGGTACATGAGTTCTAGATGGAAATTACATTTTTTAACAACCAAATTGACTTAGTTGGAGGGAAACATGTATGGACCTAAATGGGGTTTTCTTTCTTTTGGACTTGAGATTATGGAGCAAATTGTTTTAAAAGCTGGATCATGCAAAGTGGTAAAATATGAGAAAGCATGCATGAAAAATCAACACAAATTTAAACCTTTTGCATTTGATACTTTCGGTTTCCTTGCGTTTGATGTTTTGTCGAGCTCCTCGATAGATTCTAAGGCTGGAGGGAATGGTGCCACTGAAACCGCACTCCCTCCTATGTCACGTAGACGCCAACTCATATTTTTTCTTATTTCATCAATTTGAAAGCGCAATGTGGGAGTGGGAAAATGGTTAGGAGAGAGAAAAAAAAGAAAAAGAAAGAAAGATGATTGGTTGAGAGAGGAGAGAGAGAGCAAGTAAAAGAGGAGAGAGAGAGAGAGAGAGAGAGAGAGAGAGAGAGAGAGAGAAAGGGGAGTGCACCCCTGGAAGGCCGCAGTGCGGCCTAGACCGCACCTGGACCGCACCCAGGGGGCGGTGTGCGTGATGATGTGGCGGGTGGAGTGCGGCCTAGACCACACCCACTCCCTCTGGTTTAACGGGTCATCCATAGTAATGTTATGACTCTAAGATTTATGAATGTTGTTTTTAAAAGAATTAGTTTTGTCATCCAAAAAGGGGTTGCGACACAACTTGTTATTCATTTATCCACTACGTCTATGTAAAACTTTTAAAATAAATAGACAATAATTGTAATTTCAGTCTTTGGAAAAAAAAATTAATCTTTGTCATTGATTTGTAAATGTGTTTATTCAATTTTATATATATAACTTTTAGAGTAAATTACATGTTTGGTCTAGAACATTTATAAAATATCATATTTAGTCCAAAGGTTCCATTGTTTCACTATTCATCCGCCCATCCGCCCCCTAACCCCCGAGACCCCTTACAACTGTTATCCATCGTCATGTGATGTGCAGATGAGGACATTTTAGTCTATTCATTCCCCTTTATTTCCACAAGAATAAGAAGGAACGAGACAATATCAAACACCCAAATTAGTCTTTTCTCCACTACGTAATCTAGGGACCAACAATGAAATATACATACATTTCACTTGTCCGTTTCCCACACATGAACACACATAAAAGAAATTAGAAGAACCAAACAAGATCAAACACACACACACACACACACACTCTCTCTCTCTCTCTCTCTCTCTCTCTCTCTCTCTCGTTGATAATGGTACCTAAATGCAATCCATGTTAGGGATGAAAGTGGGTCCAAACCCGGCCCAGATGACCCGGACCCGGAAAACCGGGAAACCGGGTTAATGAGATTTAGTATACCTGGAAACCGGACCGGTATATAGGAATCGGTTCTGGTTCGGTTCCGGGTACGGGACCGGGTAAAGTGGGTCTAGAATCGGAAAACCCGGAAATATCAAAGTGGGTAGGGTGGAACCGGGTAGAGTGGGTCTAGAACCAGAAAACCCGGAAATACTGATTTTTTTTATACTTAGTGTTTTGATATCTTATGTTTAGAGGTATGTAAGTTGCTCAATACATATGCAAATAAGGTGTTGTTGGAGTCTAAAACTAAGGCCAAACATTAACTACATCTTCAAAAAATAATCAGCCCGAACAGACTTATCACGAAGCGGTTATGACGGTTTGAAGTGAACTAAAAATTCAGCACAATGCAGTAACAAAAACAAAATGGATTTGATATCTCATGTTTATAGGGTTGTAAGTCACTCAATACATATGCAAATACGGTGTTTCTTGAGTCTACAACTAAGGCCAAACAGTGATCTACAATTTGAAAAAAAAAATCAGCCCGAACGGACTTATAACGAAGCAGATATAACAGTTTAAAGTTGAGTAAATTTTTAGCAACAATGCAATAAAAAAAACAAAACATATTTGATATCTCATGTTTAGAGGACCGTAATTCACTCAATACTTATGAAAATAAGGTGTTTCTGGAGTCTAGAACTAAGGCCAAACATTGAACTACAATTTAAAAAAAAAAAAAAAAAAATCAGTCCGAACGAACTTATAACAAAGCAAATATGACAGTTTAAGTTGAACTAAAAATTCACCATAATTCCTAGATGTTCTTGTTTTTATGGAACTAATCTTTCACTTCATAATGTTACCAAAAGAATACAAGTTCAAAAAACATGATTCAAGTTCAAAAACATGATTCCCAGTTTACTCGGTTCCGATTCATGTACCCGGTTTCGGTTCTTTTACCCGGTTTACCCAGACCCGATAGACCCATACCTGGAATACCCGAAACCCGAATAAGGCTATTATTAAAACCCAAAACCCGGACCGGTTTAGCATATTTCGGTTCAACCGGTTCCGGTCCGGTTTTCCGGTTCTAAATCTCATCCCTAGTCCATGTGTAGTTACTTCATATGTCTTTTAATCTTCTCGTCAGTTACTCGATGAACTTTATGATGGGATTTATAGGTTATAAAAATCATATTTTGGCAGAAAAACTTAAACCCTAAGTTTGCATGCAACCTAAATGATCTATGTTTTCACTATTAAATACAATAATCAATTGAACATCAAGAACCCTACAAGAACCCTAAGATTTTTGAAAATAAGAAAAAGGGTTTAGGGTTACATACCTTTTGATTATACTAGCAGATAATCAATCACAATCCTTCTTATAGTCACTTGGAAGCTAGCACCAGAATTCTCGTGCCTCTGATGGTTCACAGCCAACCCTAACAACAAGGAGGCTTAAAGAGAGAGGAGAGGGGATAGAGAAATTTCGGCTATCTCTTGGAATAAACAAGTGGCCGAAAACTGTAGCTCTTAGGGTCTATTTATAGTTAAATCAGGAAAGAGTAAATTACACGAATAGTCCCTATGGTTTAGCGTAATTTGCGCGTTTGGTCCCTAACTTATTTTTTTAACTCAGAAGGTCCCTAATGTTTGTTTTTGTTACGCATTTGGTCCTTGTCTTACCAAAAAAGACTATTTTTCCCTTGATTTTTTGATTTATTTAAATAAACACACCCCCAATCTCACCTCCTCATCTTTATTTACCTACCCCACCATTTTTCCCTATTTAAATAATAGTCTTTTTAGGTAAGATAGGGACCAAACGTGTAACAAAAATAAACAGTAGGAACCAAGCGCGTAACAAAAACAAACAGTAGAGACCTTCCGAGTTAAAAATATAAGTTAGGGATCAAACGCGCAAATTACCCTAAACCATAGGGACCATTCGTGTAACTCCTTAAACCCTAGATAACCCTAACTTGAATATTATATTAATATTTCAAATTAAGTAATTATCTACTCCCTAATTATCTATAAGGGATATTCTAGAAACCCTATAATATTCCCTTCAGAAACCGTCCACCATAAGGGAGGAAGGTTCTGGAACCTCTTGTTCAACTATTGAATAATTACAGTTAGACCATGTACTTTTGATTAATCTAATTAATCCCAAAATTAATTCCAATTAGTTTCTGATTAATTATTAATTAAATTATACTATTTCTAATTAATATATTATTTCCATAACATATTAATAAATTCATTTATTGCTCTTTATTAATCATATAATAAATCAACAAATCAGTCTCTCTTTCAAAAAGTCATCTTATTCAATTACTAGATTTGAGGCAACCCAAAAGGATTTTGCTGATAATTCAAGTATATGCTAATTCAGTTATTGGCTTAGACACATAATCCAACACTTTATCACATATTGAATGTGAACATGTGATTTCTTTTGATTTTTTCATTACAATTTTTATATATGTTTGGAATATTTCGATTCATGTGGCCTTAGGACCATTTTGTAATAATTATTTTACTGTTACTATATTTACAAAATGTCATAGTAACTATACCATTATAACATAACTTAATTGATATTCATAACTTTACTTGATAGAAGTAGATGTATTATATATATATATATATATATATATATATATATATATATATATATAAAAGGGTAATATGATTTTATTTTAGACATCAATACGTACACACAAAAAAAGGAAACGAGTTTTCTTTATCCCTCATGTTTTTTTTCCAAAAGTGAATCCATTAAGAACGCCAATCACTTCCTTATGAAATCTTCCATCATTTTAGATGTCATTATATGAATCAATGGCTTCTTATTCAACATGAAACAACCATTCGAAGATTGATTATCCATCAAGTAAGTATTTCAATCACTTATGTGGCAGACAAAATTTTGTTTGAATTGATTAGAAAGATTATAATATACTGGTTTTCAAGAAACAAAACATTATGAAGATGGGAGATATAACATCCCAAAATTCAAAACCAATTCTTTTTTCATATTAGTTAAAACATCAACCAAACATGTTTAATAAAACCAAGAGAGAAATCATAATGTTTTCATAATCATCCAAAACACATCAGAGTCAAATAAGTGAAAAATCATGGTGTGTGCGATGCGATCACCCCGAGCTCTTCCCCTTCGATCC